AATATTATAAAGCATTTTAATTAGTGCAGATCGCGTCCCCCAAGTTGACGCCAACGTGATATAAATATTTTTTATTAAATCATATATAAGTATAATTACAGTATATAATTTAATTCATAATAAAGTTTATACATACCAATACTGTAATATTGTTAAATATAGCGATTAGGTATTCAATCAACATGTACGGATGTAGGCGAGGACATAATTGCCACATATTACAGGTTTGTATTGTATAAAAAAAATAGCACGTCAATGAAAGATACCTGCATATACAAATAAAAAAAGCTGGACTTAAGTCCAGAAAGTGGCATATCTTTAGAGGGTGGAAGCACGGGTGTAAGGTTTGTGACGAATGTAATCATCATTCACACCTATATTGCAAAAAAGTAGCGAACGGAATATATAGGCAATGTGAATGTAATAATTTTCTAAGGGAATCTCGAGATACGTAGTTTAAACAAAATTTATCGTTATAGTTATTATTATTTGTCCACGTTCGTTAGCGTAATAATTCCGCATATAAAATTTATCTGTATCACCTTGCAAGGCTTATCGCTATGCATAACTTATTTGTGAGACGGGGCACAATCTCAAAGTGCCATTTTTCATTTTTCTGGAATTAGTACGTACTTAACCAAAGTCGGTCAATTAACTCATGCCACATCTATTCTTCATTTTGTGGAGAATTCACTCTGGACCACAAAGTGCCACACATTACGGGTTTGTATAATAAAAAATTTTAGCCACATATATATTATTTTTTCTGTTAATATATAACGATGAAAGATCAGAATAACATACTCGCGAATAAAAAAAGACAAAATTATATCGAGAAGTGGCATATCTTTAGAGGGTGGAAACACGGATGTAAGGTTTGTGACGAATGCAATCATCATTCACACCTATATTGCAAAACATGCAAAAAGGTGGCGGATGGAATATATAAGCGATGTGAATGCGATAATTTTAAAAGAGAACCTCAAATAATCGAATAATGAAATAAAAATAAAATCAAATAACGATAAGCAGAATTTGTACAATCTTACTGTGACACCTTTTCAGACAATCTAACGGTAATTTGTCAACGGACAGATCTTCGTTAACATGTGAGAATAAATTCCGTATCGGTATGCAAAATTTATTTGCGAATTCAATCAACAAATAGGATTATGCTTACCTAATTTATTGTATCACCACACGGCACTAAACAATGCCATTTATATATAGGGTTCAACTTAGCGAGGTAGATTTTTCTTCTCCCAAAAGAAAGTTTTGGATTAATTCAAAGATTATTTAATCACCGAATTTTCACGCCTAAATTCCTGTACAGCAAGAGTACCCCAAGTAAAAAACGAAAGACTATTTTCTCTTTTCAAGGATAAAACATATCGATATACATATAGCACAGTAAATACGTAATTACATGCTGTTTTTGGTTATTTACTAACCAATTTTAATATTATCCGTGGCCGCAGAAAATGACCAACGACAATATAAACGAGTCAACCATATGCCCAAGCTCCATAGTAACAATGTGGGTGCTTCTTGAAGGGAAGGCGAGTGCCGTAGGAGTCGACGTTGATCAGAAAAATTATATAACCCGTAGTTTCAACTTAGACCGTCTTAAGCCTATTCTTCGTGAAACGTTCGAAGATCTTAAGAATGTTAAGCCAGAAGATACCGAATTTTTTACCTTTAATGACCGCATAAATCCACTTCCACCAGATATCACCCTAAATTCCCTATCTGAGAGTACAACTGCCACTGCCCCACTTGTAGTCCGGTATCCGCTCTCGACTTCAACCGGTAAGCTGAACTTTTTTATCTTTTCACCCCTACAACCGTAATGACTTGTTCTGTCTTTTTTATCCAATTCGCAGTTATTGTTCGTTGTAATTTTTCGACGTCATGGTTTAAGTCTAGTTTTTCGCACAATAGCGGGCTCTGGTATCTCATCCGCAATGTTGCAGAGTCAAAGTTCCGAACACTGCGATTAGATACAATTCAATATAGTTTCATTTATAATGAGAATAATAGCAAACTGCAAATAGAAAACGAACTTCAGTTCAATGAAGTAATAGCGGACATTACACCGAATGAAAAAGGTAAACGTGAAGTCAGCATTTCAATCCAAGTAACAGGTAATGCCAATACTTTGAATATTGTTAGGGTTCAGCTTGTATACATATTTACTCGTTTTTCATTTATAGGAAGGAAGGCATACGGCGATTGGGAAATTGGCGAGGCCCTAAATGAGTTCTTGCATCAAAGGGGTTCAACTATGTTTGATATTCGATCTTTTAGCATGGATGATCTTCCGAGACCTAACCCTCCAATCCCTAAAGAGGCTATTGCTCAACTTATTGCTGAACTTAAAAAAAGGAAGTGTGCATTTGGTATTGTCAATCGAAATGAATCAACTTGTCGAGAGTTTACCTCGCCTTTAATGTCCACAGCAGTCACCCATATCCAAGAAGAAGCAAAAGGGTTATTACTTAAAGCTGAAGAGTGGATTGATGGGACAAAAGCCTATGGGCCTATTGATTACTCGATTTCTATTGAAGAAGTGCTTGTTTTAGTCCAAGAAGTTAAGAAAGATGACTTTGAAAAAGGAACTGCACAAAATATCGCACAGATTCATAGTGCCATAGAGGTAATTATTGTATTAATGTGATAATTTTTTTTTTTTACGTTTACTCAACTGACATATTATATTAGTCACGAAAACGCAGAATTGAGGTAGACCCGGGAGATGAAGAAGTTCCTGTTGTAATGTATGGAATCGTTACAAATGCATTGCAATGGTATTTCCTTCGTTGGGCAGGTTCCTCAGATGATCCAACAGTTGAATTATCCGGACCACATATTTGCGAATTCGATAGTAACAATATGGAACAAGTAAAGATAATTCTCAGCTGTATTACCTCCATCCTCCAGTATCAAGTCCGAGGACATGACGATGACTCAAAATGTATCCGTATTAAGAGACGTCGTACTAGCTAGATATTAGGTTTTTTATATGTTCTAAATTAGCTCGTTTTTATATGTATATCATGTTTTTAAACATTAACTAACTGTTCACAAAGTATTATTTTGAATGGTCAATAAAGACTTGAGGCAGATCTTATATATGATATGGTGTTTTGTGATATATTTTTTTCTTTTTTATTCATTGGTCTAAATTTGCCATCCATTGGCACTTTATCACTGGTATATATTGTTACGATTATCAAATTACCTTAATTTCCCAAATTGAGATTAAACCAAGTTTTGATTTTCTCCGAAATAGTAGTCATTGTTGTTGAAGGATCGGATTAATATTAACAATTTGCCAGCTAATAGGAGGGCCAAGATTAAAAGAATATAATGGGATAGATAGTTTCCGGCAGAAACGATTTCAGTGTCTGCAAAAGGAAGGATTCTGAATAATCTATATATCAATAAAACTGGCCCTGGTGGCTGAATTTGCATAAATAATCGCGTTTACTTTTGTATGTGTGAATTTATTTTATTGTATTGATGTATGCATATGATCGGATTTTTTATGTAACTCTGATCGTGAACATTGTTCACGGTTTTGGCATGTTTTTTTTTAACTCGATAATTTAAATAAATCGCGTCTTATATAAAAATTATTATCGAACCATGCAATCCGAACTAGATTTATTAAGACAGGA